TCCACAGCGGCACAGCCGTGGTGTGGGCCAGCCTGGAGGGCAGCGGTGTACACACTGCGTGTGTCCTGCACGGCACGTGCCCGCGCGCGCTTCGGTGCTCACCCGGTAAAACCGGCCACTAGCAGAAATCTGTATTTTCTGAATGCCACCGGTTTAGACTCTCTTACATGTCTTCTCAATCTTCACGCTAAATTTAGATGCAAAATTTTAAAGAATTATTTTTTCAAAGCAGGCAGGTTTTAGGCGTAATTTGTTTTTCTGCTATCTGAACACAACATTTCTCCCTTTCTAAAAAAACCTTTATTTAACTGAAGTATTGTTGATGCAGTCTTTTTTTAACTATTTTACAGAAAGATTTGTCTTGAGTTGGGACTAAGTTTTGCAAACGTCAACCCAGAAAGCATCTGGGAACGTTGAGAGCAGCTGACAAAGGGAGAGGAGGGAAGAACAAAGTTAGGCTCAGACTTCAGCTGCAGTTTCGTCCTTCAGCCATGAGCGCTTTTTTAAGGATTAGTTTTACATCTCCAGCAGCGCTGAATATCGGTTTGACTTTTCTTGTTCTATACATAAAGGCAATTATCTATTGGCAATGGGAAAATAATAAATGGCAATTCTGCATTGTACAAACCAGACACAGCCCCCATTGTGCTATTCAGACTTGTTTATTCGCTCTTTGGTTTGGGGGAGTTCAGAGCTTTGCTTGTATGAACTTATACTGCAGGTTTGTTTGCCTGCGGACAGCTGCCCCCCCGTCCCTCCTCTCGCGGCGGTTCCTGTAAGAGCCACACGTTTCTCCCGAAGAGGTGACCACGGCCGGGGCTTTCGGTGACTTGCCCAGGCTGTGGGTGGCAAAGCGCTGCCCTGACCTCTGCAGCCTCAGGAGGTGGTACGTATGATAAAAGGAGAGAAAACTCCGCATTTCGCTAAGGGCCGCCTGCGCAGCCAGCGGGAGGGTGTCCCGCCGGCAGCACAAGGGGTGATCCTGGTGCTTGGGCGCTGGGGGCTCGGCCGGACGCTTCCCCGGCAGAGATGGGCCTACCACCTACCACCTCCTGCCACACGGAAGACGAGGGCTGTGCAGGCAGTGAACGGGCAGAAGCTGTGTCTCCAGCTCTCGGTGGGAC